GTTTTACTCCAAAAATTTTTAAAGAATTTTCAAAGTAGGCAAATGTAAGCATTTTGTAAAGTTGTGATAATTGCATTTATGGTAAAAATACGGTAAAAACTTTGGTATTTAGCGATTTACTTCGAAGATATTAAGTGGAATTAATTTTGCTCTTACTATAATAGTAAAGCTGAACTGATAAAATTATTACTTTTCAAAAAAATCATTCGTTGTGATCAAAATAATTATTTTCCTATCAAGGCAAAACTTAATCCTAATTAAGTAAGCATTATGAAAGTTAATACTTTTTGTTTTTAGTTTGTGGAATGAAATGGAATATACTAAAATTCTCTAGTGGCTTTTGCCAGTAATAGTTCAAAATATTTTTTACGGTTCCTCCAGAAATACTCAATGCATTAATGCATCAGTAGGGAATACTTCTGAGTGGATTTCAATTATCATAACCTTACCGTAGTCCTTACTATTTTACTGCTTATTTTATGACTTTTAAAATATCACTTATCGCCAAAATATTATTTTTATCAAATTGAGAAAAACAATTTTTGAGCTTTACTATTTTTAATTACGTTACTGTTGCACAAGTAAAGAGTACAAAGTTAATTTCAAATTTAGCAGTTTACAATGATTTCCAGCAGTATCAAGTATTATTTTATTGCTTTTCCGTGAATCAAAATTGAATATATACTAAGAAAACAGTTCTATTTTTTCGTAGCATTAAATCATGGTTTAATCATAATTAACAAATAGTGTTAATCATTTGGAAAGTATATATTCAACAGAATATGATAAACAAATAATTGTTAAATTTTATTTTGAGTGACAATTTCTATGCTTTTATTAAAATAAACGCTATTCTATCCTGAATCATCTGAAGCTGAAGCCAATATTAGTAACTGAGCAATATAGTTACTGAAATATCTTGAATAATTTATAAATCTTCCATGCATCAGACTTATGCTTATTCCATTTCTCATCCATCATATATTTATGTTAAGTTCTAATTTTACCTTTCACTAACTTAAATTTTAAGAGCATTTTCCAGCATAATAAATTTTGAAATTTTTTAACTTAGCTCAAAATTTGCAACAAATACATTGTTGACTATGTGGATACTTGCTTTCTCGATCCATTTATGGCTTAATCAACTTCACCTTAATTTATCTATTAATTAGCAACAGAGCAAATTCTAATTAATAAATGCTGTAACAATTAATGTAAACATTTTTTTCTTAGCACTGTCAATTCATGTTGTAGAAAATGTTTATATAACAGTTCTTACTTCATCCAATTTCGCTTCAATCCAAAATCATTTGCTATTTTTAGCAGATCATTTTTATTCTTGCAGTACTTTAATAATATTCTTATTTTATGAAAACAGTGTCTCAGCATAACTTTTATATAGTTTTTGTGCTTGCACTGCCGTTTTATTGTTTTTTAGATTAAATTGTGTGATGCCACAAAATGCAAGCTTTTAAACTGACACAGTACTATCATGCTATGTTTATTACAAACTTTATATACTCACAAAGCAACAAAAACACTATCAAGCATTATTGAAGTCTAAAATAGCTTACTGACCAAAAAGTATTACAGAAGAGCTTAATGATCGAAATGTAAGAATTTATTTGTGTGGGAAATGTGAAGAACCAATTCGAGATCGCTTTTTGCTAAAAGTTCTCGATTGCTCGTTTCATGCGCAATGCTTGCGATGTTGCCATTGTGAGCAGCTGCTATCTGCCAAATGTTTTTTAAAAAGTGGACAGCCATACTGTAAAGATCACTTTTACAAGTAAGAAAATAAATCTGCAAGACTCGCATAATATTTAATCTAGCAATGATAAGCTAAAAAAGTACTTCGTCGATACTTCACTTTTATAAAATCCACTGCTTTAAGTGTCAATGCAAACTGTACAGATTACAGACCGAAATTTGCTAGTAGATGTAATGGCAGTCAAACTAATTTTTTCCTTGCCGAAAATTCTAATTTTACTTAATGCTATTAAAAATTTTGTCGATATTAAAATTGTGTTGTTTACTAAGATATTGAAACAATTTAAAGCTTATTTTAAATCTTTAAACCGAATAAGTATCAGTGGAATAAATAAATCTAATAAAAAAATGACAAATTAATAACTGCTGAAAATTTCAGACGTTTTGGTACAAAATGTTCAATGTGTAACGAAGGAATCTGTCCAGATATGGTTGTCAGACGTGCTAATGACCACGTTTATCACGTATCTTGTTTCCAGTGTGTTATTTGTAAACGTGAGCTTCGAACTGGCGAAGAATTCTATCTTATCCCAACAGATGGTCGCTTGGTATGCAAATCAGACTATGAAATGGCTAAAACTAAAGGTACATTATTAAAGATAAGTAATCGGTCAACAAAATTTATCTTTAACAAATTAATTTTGTACAAAATAAAGATTTCTTTTCCGTCATTAATGTAATAAACTTATGAAGGAATATTCAGATTATTTTGTAAATAATTTGAAATATCAAAGTTAGATTTTTACAATCAAAACAAGAAAAGTTTAGAAACAGACATTGACTCAAATGCAAAACGACCCAGAACAACAATCTCAGCGAAAAGCTTGGAAACCTTAAAACAAGCTTACCGAGCAAGTTCCAAACCTGCTAGACATGTCCGTGAGCAATTAGCTGCTGATACTGGCCTTGATATGAGAGTTGTTCAAGTAAATAACTGCCACATTTGACAGCAATTTAGCCCACTTTACTTAATAACAATTTCGGAATTTGAATTATTTCATCGTAAATATTATTTTAGGCAATTTAATTATGCAAAATACTTTAATTTAGTGGTATTTATTTTTGAAGAATGCATAGCGTAAAATTATAAATGAAAACTTTGTCAAATTTTCTAAAATTTTGTTGTAAAACTTATTTTTCAATTAAATTAAGAGCGAAATTCAAACTAGATTTGTACAGTATTATTAAATCATCAAATTACACAATTATTTAAGACCTAATATACTTGATGTGAAGTTTAGATAAGTAGATAAAGGCAAGTATTCATTCAGGTTTGGTTCCAAAATCGTCGAGCAAAGGAAAAACGCTTGAAAAAAGATGCTGGTCGCCGGTGGGGAACAAGCTATGGGGTAACGAGAAGTCTCGATAGTGATAGTGCATCTCCAAACGATAGTGTTTGTGAAAGCCCTATCTATGGTAAGAAATTTTTCCCTCAATAATAGTATTTACGAAAGTAAAAATTAACTTCTAGATTATTACTTTTCAAATCAAAAGACGAATGCATCCAAACACGTCCAATCTTAAATATTTTTCCAGTATTGAAACGATTAATATTAATTTATGCATTAAATTCTTGCAGTATTTTCTGAATAATCACACTGCTTTATTTTAGACTGTCTTTATCACTTGCCAAAAGTTAGATCATAAAATTTTCTTATCAAATATGATCGTTATAGGTGCTGGAACATACTTGGACACTCCCTTAGATGTCGATAACCAATCGGATGTTGGATATGGTAACGGATGCATTAAGTATCCTATAATTTGAATATTGAATTTAAAAAAATATTATCAGTAGATATGATAGTTTCTCGAGTAATCAAGCACTTATAGTGACAAATCTATTCGATCCAAATTGATAATTTTTAATCATTTGATGTTGAATTACACAGCTCTGCTAAAAATTTGATTAAATTTACTACTTAACAAATTTGAAGAAGCATTTCTGATATTTATGATGGCACTTACCACATTTAATAAAAACAGGTATTATTAGATTGATTACAAATTACAAATTGTAGATCAAAAATTAACTTGCATACTGAATAACCACAATTCTGACCAATTGTATAACTTATTAAAGTTTGTATTCTATTTCATCGTTTATCGCTTTACTTTTGATTAATTTCAATAAAAAGCATAATTTTGCAGAAATAGAAAATGGATACAATTGTGCAGGAGATGGGATATTGGCTCCAGCCGGGTCATTACTTGGCCTTAACGGTTCTTCAAACACAACACAACTTGAACAACAACCACAACAAAATATTTTTTTTATGAATATGCAGCCTAGTTTGACAGTTGATACCAGTGCAAGTCTTGATTAACTTCTGCTCTCAGCAATTTTCATAACTATCAGAAGACTGGTTTTCACGTATTACTACAGATAAACAGCTTTGTACTGAAAAGTCTTCAAGTCATTTAATGATTAGACTAAGTTTCAAAATGAAACCAAATGAATGAGAACAGACTTGATTCATAGACCAGTACGATAATTTCAAATCATGATTAGAAGTCATAGTCAGAATTTGACTCAGTTTTAAATTGATTTATAGGCAACAATTTTATTTCATTTTTTGTTTCATTTAAAAGCAGCCATCTTATACGTTTGATCTGATTTAATCTTTCACTTTTGCAAGGTCTAAAAATCATCCAAAATAATTAATATTTGCTATGCTTTCATAAATATTCTCTGCGAAAATATCTGATTTATCTTCTATCTGTAAAATTTGTAGACTTCAATGTAATCTAAGCATTTACTATTGATCTTCTGTGGTGTGATCATATCAATCAATGCACATATAAAACATCAGACTTTCCTCTTCAAGTTAAGACTGAAGTGTAAGCTCAAATTTAATCTAAGTTAACTTTTTCTTGACATCAGTTTATGCTATTTTTGTTTATTCTTAACATTAAAGAACAATCATTACTGCATGTTGGAATAAAGGTAATCACTATTGTGCTTTAACAAAAATACTTTTATTACATACCTAACAAAATCCAATCAATAAAGTACTTTTTTAATTTGATTTAAAGCAACAAAATGTAGCGATAAATAAAACTAAAACTAATATAGTAAAATAATATTATGCATAATTTAGCGTGATTAGACTCAACTAAACTTATTAACTTAGTCTAGCTTGACTTCGTACAGTTCGATTTCAATGACTTATGCAAAACCAAGTCTTAGTCTAAATTAATTGATCAAAATTACTATTAATTAACTAATTACTTTGCATACATAGTTCGCAATAAAAAATCAATGCTAATCAAAATGACGTCATTAAAAAAAGTACAATTGTTCATATCTCTGATCCAGTTTCATCTCTACCTTCCATATCACTGTGGCATTTTTTCACTATTCATATCTAAAAACGGTTTATCAGAGAACAAAAGGGAAATGATGTCATAGCCAATAAAATATGAAAAATAAAAACGACTTATATGTTAGTTAGTACCAAATATTACAAAAACTTACGCTCATATGACATGACCTATACTACGTGATCATGTACAAAATAACGTCGAGTATTTACGTTACGTTGTAAAACGTGAATAATTCTATCAAAAGAGAAAGAGTACGTGCAAATATGAGTACTTTATTAGAATATGACGAAATTTGCATGCAGTTAGGAAGGTTTTTGAACTGATCTACAGGTGAAAAAAAGGAGGGCGAGAGAGCATAGGAATGAAGAGAGTCAGTTAGTAAAGAAGCATATGGGTAGGGGATAACATCAATGAGATGATGCCGATCACTGTGTATTGTCAGTTAATCTTTCCAAGTTTGTAAGGTATGGTTGAATGCTTATTCACTTCTAACTTCCGAGTAAGTCTATTACGTAACGTGGACACGCGCATACGTATGCGTGAACACGTGTATTGATAGTTATTCTTGTTTGTTTTTATTTTTAAATAAATATCCTGCTGTCACTTGTTGTGCTAAAGTACAACACTTTAAACACAAATTATTTGATTAATATTTTTAGATCAAATTAACAATTACAAACTTTTTGCAATATTTTGCTAGTTGTGAAACTTTGTTAGAAGCTTTAAAAATGAAAGTTTTGAAATGAAATACTGGAAATAGTCTACAAAATTTATTTGAAAGCAAAAAATGATACTATAAGAATTATGCAAAACAAGTCTATGTTATAAGACTATAAATGTGATCATTTTGACTAGTGAAGATTCATTGTGATGATTTTTGAGCAACAAATAATAATTAACACTATTAGAAATAATACACTAAAGGGGGAGGTCATATTTAGTTTAACTTTTACAAGTAAAAAGGCATAAAATACGTTAAGTAGTAGTAGAATTGGCGTAAAAATTTCAGATATCGTCAGGTTTTGGATTTGTTGTCGACGGTAACAACTTAGAGCTAACACGTCAGGATAGCTTCCCAAGAAGTAGTGTCCAGGGAAAAGAAAACTAGCCCTGTCAGTTCGGTATTTAAATTGCACTGCATAACCTGACACTAAATCATTTACGTCTTAACTGATATTTTACGTTTTCGAAAGATATGCAGAATACTGCACACTGCGCAATATTAAATATTGCACCATTGCGCGTGAAAGTATTTACTGCGTGGGGTGTTGTGGGTTGTCAGGTGGTGGTGGGATTGAGGTGTATTGTACTGATTGCTAGCTGCGGGGGACACGATAATGCAGACAGAATTATTTCTCGAATATTTATTCATTCCTCGGGCAATACTTGGCTCAAAAGCATGATGGTATTGGACAGTTTATTGATGATTAGCTTATTAGTATGCAAAATCGTGACTAAATCACACAGGTTTTTCATACATTTCCAGCTTATTTACCATTTCCATTTCTCGATACTTGCCCAACTGTAATATCGTACTTGGACCGTTCTTTTACTACAACTTTCTCTCACTCATGGAAACTTCTGCATCAACATCTGTTGGACAGCGTTGTACACCCATTGGTCAGCCACTTCTCAAAATGTTTAAGGACTTCGAGGTAAGCAAAAATAGAGTAGATTAGGTAAATAGACAGATGGGAGAAGGAATGAATAAATTGGATAAAATATGTTGCAATGATCGATGAAATACAATGCGTCTCGTGTATTTTATTTTTTACTTGCAGAATTTCACACCATTTGGTCAACCGAAAACACCGAAAAAGCAATTACTCCCACTTCGAAATGACAAAGGTTTGTCTTTGGATTGTTGAAAATAATTTTGCTTACAAATACTTCGCAAATCATGAAAAAGAAAGTCTCAGGTACTACGGGAACGGTAATTAGTCCCGGACAAGGTGACGTGACGGGTGCGGAATGCACAATGGAGTATCTTTCCGATCTACTCAAAGAGAAGAAACAGCTTGCCGTCTTTCCCCAAGTTTTTCGCCATATGGAACGCCTAGTTGACGAAGGTGATTATCATTTACCTTAATTCTACAAAACTTTTAGTATTAATGCGTTTTAAGGAGGCAAAAATTACTGACGTAGTAATTTAATCAGATACGATTATAGAATTCTCTTTACAGCAAATTGTTTCACACAAAAGTAAAATTTATTTTTTCCACATTCTACGTTTTTTGTAGTATTAAGAGTAAGAAACCCATATAGTGCAAAAGAATGCTAAAATTTAGTTTTAAGAGATCAATCGTGTACGCATGGCGCTTTTTCAATGTCATTTCACAATTGAACGTCCTGATTTGCCCGATCCAGAGGGTGAACCAGTAACCATCCAGGAGAAAGTTTATGTACCTCGCAAGGAGCATCCTGATGTAAACTTTTGAAACTGGAATTGAACCATGCTTTTTTTGCTGCCATAGTAGTTAAGATTACTGACTAGCCATAGGAAAAAATTGAATAAATGAAGTATTTTACAGTATAATTTTGTGGGGCGCATACTTGGTCCTCGTGGAATGACTGCGAAACAGTTGGAACAAGAAACTGGTTGCAAAATTATGGTCAGAGGTCGTGGATCAATGCGCGACCGTCGTAAAGTAATCAAGTCTTTTTGTGATAATGCCTATGAAAAATAAAAGTTTAAGGATATATTGATTTCAGCTTCCCTTGAAAATGGGTGCGATAGTTTGCATTCTTATTCCATAAAAAACTAATAATGAAGATGAAGCTTGTATTTTTATCTCAATTTTCTGGCATTTAGGAAGAAATGAATCGGGGTAAGCCAAACTGGGAACATCTTGATGATGAGTTGCATGTCTTGGTTCAGTGCGAAGATACACCAAATCGCGCTTATAAAAAACTGAAGGCTGCTGTGGACGAAATTAAAAAACTACTTATTCCATCAGTAGAAATTTCACTATTTACTTTTGTTAACTAAATGTTTCTAAATCCTACTTAAAGCAAAATTAGAAATTTGGGTTATTTCAGCCGGAAGGCACCGATGAATTGAAACGAAAACAGCTCATGGAACTTGCAATTATTAATGGAACGTATCGCCCTGTTAGCAAGTATCCATTGCGTGAGTTTATTTGCTATTAAATGCTAGTAGCTAGCTTGTTGCATAAACTTATGTCCACGCTGGCCCGGCCTTTTGTTTATGGACATTTGCCAAATGTATCGAGATATTTTTCGCTTTAGACAAATTTAAAATAAGTTGTTTTCCAGAAACACCACGACTGATTGCGCCTATGACACTGGTCTCACCAATTCGTCATCCTAATGGTTCTATAGCTGCACAGCCGATATTCGTATCACCAACAGGAAGTCCAATCACACCTGGAACCAATATCAACACGCCAACCGGAGTAAATGCATTTATGCAGTCTCCTAATATCGATTACAATGTGATGATGAAGTATGAATTTTCGTTCCTTACAATTTAAAAAATCTCAGTTCCCTTATATTTTGTATATATATATATCTAATCAGGGTCTGAGAAACAGTTAACAGTTCAGAAGAAAATTAAAATAAACATTGAAATGAAATGAGATGGAAGATGGCTGCATTAGATCAAAAATAGTTTGAACTTGCTTAATTGCTCAGCTCGTTAAGACACAAAAACGTTGTTCATTTTTTAGTCAGCTCTCATTTGATGCGGCGCTGCAAACTTTTCCTATGGCAGGTGACTACCAGTCGCATTCATCCGCACAATATCCAACTGCTACCTCACTACTGAATGCAGCCACAACACCTAATAACAGTGCGTTGCAATCTTATTTCATCGAGTCTAATCCAATTACGCCACCTGAATCCACTGGATCTGGTCGCCGTTGATTTACTTGATCCAGATTGTTGGCACATGAAAGGGATGCGTTCTATCTCTGTGCGAACTCAGGCTCTACAAGTACTTTTTAGTGTAATGCTAGGTTTCAAGATAAAAAATAAAAATTTTTAAGGTGTGTAGCGGCAGATATTTTCTCTAAATACATTAACATGAAGAAAAAAAATCATTGTAGCCATAATCCTTTATTTTAATTGTTATTTGCTTAATTCTCCTAACAGTTTTCTTGTTCATTTTTGTAGTTGCACTTTGAATGCCGCATTGGATCTTATAAACGTCTGCCGTAATTTTTCGTTGATGCAGTTAGCGGTTTAATCATTTTTAATTATTTGTTATTTTTTGGGCTCGTTTTTCAAATAGCAAATATGATTTGATTTTGAACGGAGGAATTTTACTCGTTTTTAAACTAGCTGATTTCCCTTAGTATTAGGTGCAATTCTTAACAAGATTGGGTAAAAAGTAACTAAATTTTCGAAATCATTATCAAAATTTAGTCGATTGCTCCTTGCATTTCAGCAGTTATTCAATCAAGTAATTGTAATTAGATTCGACTAAGCTAATTGATGGTATTAAACAAAATAGCTTACAATTAGTTACATTTATGATTTCGATCTTTATTCTTCACCTTTGCTTAGTCAGATGTTATTTATCTGCAGTTAAAGTGCTGTTATCTTTTGAGGAAGGATTTGAAGTAAAATTTTTTCTGTTATCTTTTGTAATCCTGTTTTATATCGAGCGTTTAAATGTTCTTGAGTTAAATAATAAATCAGTATTTCTTGCTCGCCATGTAACAATTAAAATATAGTACAGCGATATGATAATGTAAAAACAAGCGGGCACACTTTTCAATTGTAATGAGATATATGACAAGGGAATTAAAAGGATTTTAGAAGTAATTTTGCGCTGGAATGGAAAAAAGTGCTTGAAGCTCCGTCTTATATTTTTTGGATTGATTCAGTAAGTCTAATTAAGTTGCGTTGTGTTAAGCGTTTTTGAACTTAATTATTATAGCACTTATGATTATTTAAGAGCCTTTCATTGTAAACTTTTAAATTAATAGGAAGGTCTCATCAGATATATGAATTCCGATAGTCGCTAGTCAAAACTACCGAATACGTTATACAACCCGTACATGCTCGACATATCCACTAAATTTATATTTGATGCAGTTCACTTAACGGAATTCACGCAACGACTAGAATTTGATGGAATTGTTTTTGTCTATCTAATTAAATCAAAATGCTTTGTTTGGACTAGTAAAGTAAACGGACATTTTTTTGGTAATAGTAATCAGCAGTATCTTTGATTTAAAGATTCCGAGGATTTTTTCAGAGTTCCGATCTTCATGATCTAAATAGAATTTTTCCTTACTTTATCAATTCAGCTCTCTGTTTGCAAAAATAAATTCATGCATAATACTGTTCAATTTATAAACAATTTCCATAAATGTTGATTTAAGTTGTGACATCCTAAATATATGCATTGATAAATATGCAAATTATTCGATGCTTCAACGTATTTTCGAAAATATATAACGAGTAAATGGAATGAATATAACAGACAAAAAAACGATTCCAAACAACTATCATTATAGATTATGGCATTTCTATTGCTCAGTATTGTCACCACTTATTAAATTATTCATACTAATAGTTTAATTATTAATTCAAACAAAATTGACCTTTTCCTAAAATTGTAAAAAACGAGCCATAAGTTTTGAATATTCAAATTAAAATGTCTTCAAGTTTAGATTAAAATGTTCATTAAGACACTCGCATTTTTCTTTTTTTCTATTTCTATTTACAATTAATAACAATAAATTTGTTAATAAAAGCCAATAAAAGTTTAATAAAAACATATTTAACGAAATAAAAAAATATTGCAGAGTTATGTAACAATATAAACTGGAAAATCAAATATAGCACTGGTAATAAATGTACACGTATAATAAAGGCCACTAAATTAGGACAATAATATTTGAAGTAAAAATTTGTTTTTCATTTGACCAGGGATTGCTGTAGTTTTTATTCTAATAAAATACATATTAAAACATTAAATAAACCTAAAAGTAGGACTCAGAAATGTAAAAATTTAAAATAAGCAACCTTAAAATAGAAAATTTGCTGTTATTATCACTTAAAAATTAAATAATTAACAAAAACAAGGTCAAATAATTACTAATTACAAATGATTCAGGTCAAATAATTTAATAAAAGTTAAGTTATTAATGACAAAACCAAATTTATCAAAAATTTGACGCAAATTCACATTAAATTATAGCAATAAAACACAATAATTACAAATATTTAACAATAATAAAGAACATAATTCAACTAATTACATATTACAGTGTAATCCACTAAGTTCCTATAAAGAAGTAATTAATGAAAAAGTTGAGTTGACGATAAAACATTTGATAACTTTAATTGTTTAATGAAATATTAGTAAAGATATTGCTGAAGAAAGCGCTGATCAGAATAATGCATGCAATAATTCGGATAATAGTTATAACAAGGGTAAATGTTTTAAATCCACTAGGAAATTTATATATATAAACCACTTTTTCCTAAAATTAATTCCATAATTTTTGTTTTTTTTAAAGAAAATGCAGAATCAAAAATTAAATCAATTATGCAAGAAATATAAAAATTTGATAATTTGAAGCAAAATATTAGCATATGAAGTTCAAGTATCTGCATATGGGAGATCCTCCACCAACAATCTCATTGGCTCTGACTTCTGCAATCAAATTAGTTTTAATTAAATGAACTAAAAAGTTGAATTTGAGATTAACACTGTTTATATCAAAAACGGCTTTGGTTGATTACATATTTTCAACTTTATAATTAAAGTAATCAATATTAAACATTATTTGAAATAAGTTATAAAACTTTAAATTGATTTAATTTTCAAAGTAATTATGCAAATTTTAATTTGAATCATTTTTTTAATTACAATAAAATTGAATAACTAAATAATTTTTATGAGTTAAGAATTAATTCAAAAATTAGTAAAAGTACTATTACTCAACAAATTAGCAAAATGTGGCAGTTAAAATTAATACGGATATTATTAATCAAAGATTAGTTCAATAAAATTTAATGATTTTTCGCTTGCAAAGAAAGATGCATTAATTTGACTATGCAAGAAAAGCAGAAGACTAGTCAAAACTTCAAGTCAAAGAAAAGACTTCTTCAAATGTCATTTTTTATTTCACTGCCAAATAGTTTAATTTCAATTGCAAAGGTCAAAACAAAACTTAACATTTCGGTAATTACTCCTTCGAACGAAGTGCCATTTACAAAAATTGATATCATTTTGCATTTGACCCCTAACAGATTAATTGAAGTACAGGCAATCAATCGATGACCGCTCGAAAGAGTAATCACCGAAAGGTCACTAGATGAGGCAGAGGCTGCAATGGAAAGTAATACTTCATTTTACTGATTACTTAAAAAAATTAAAATTTGATTTTCTTTCAAAAGATAATTTTAGAATTGTTAATGTCCGATGTGAAATTATAAATTTGTCTAATGATTAATTAACTTCATGAAATACAGTCTAATTAAATGCATCGAAAAAATAACTTTTTGAAATACAGTCTTAACTTCTGTCTTTCATTTAAAGTTTAAATAATGACCTTTTATTGGGATAGTAAAATATACGTAGAATTTTGAGGGAAAGTATTTCAATAAGTTTGAAAAGGACATTTTATTTATTGTATTGAATTGAATTATTAAAGGTCACAAACAATAAGTCTTTAAGTTGATTAGATAGTAGCGTGAAATCAAAAAAGTTTTGGCTTGATATTAATTAAAATTCTAAGCTATTTTTTATTGCTTAACTTAATTTCAACCCAATAATAACTCTAATAATATAGTACAAAAATTATTAATCTGAAAAATTATTAATTATTAAGTTTAAATATCCAAACTTCAAAAGTCCTTTTCTGTTGAAATTTTAATGGATTAATCAAAAATTTGGTACTAATTTAAGTTAGTTTTATTAAAGAGTTATTCATTAAATTGTACATACATGAATTTATTTATTTGTTAATATTTATTATTTCAGAAATTATTTAAAAAAAAAAATTAATTATCAAACTTTATGCGCATGGCCATTGAGTAAATTTGGTGGTTCAATAGGTGTCGTATTAGTTTCATTATGACTCGAAATATCTTGCGATTGATTCATTCGCATTTTTTCAATATCGATTACCGTATCATTACCACCAGAAGTTTTAAGATTTCTCGGATCATGCCAAGAGTCTAAATAACTCTGATAGGCACCATAATGAGTATGCCTTGGTAATGCGCGGTCTTCTAATATCTAGAAAGTATACTCTAAAATAAACTTTACATAGAAAACCATTTTAATTTTAGCGCTAAATCATTAAATTTTTTGTTTATTTGATTCCTTAACCCTATTAATTACTGAAATAAACTTTACAATTTTTAAAGCATATAATTCTAAAAACAATTTATATTATTAATACTATTTAAATTTTACAAAAAACAGCCTTGATGGAGTTGAACTTTTAAAAATTAAGTTTAATACTCTTAAAATTTAATTTAAAAATTGTGTAGTCCTAATACTAAATTTATGCTTTTATTTTTTTTCTTAATATTAGAGTTTTTTAATGCTATTTTAGGGATTCAGTAAACTTAATTAATTATTAAAAATTTGTGCAGTATACAACTAATTAATTAATTTAAATAATTAATTGTATACTCCATTAATTTTTTATTTATTTCAATTTCTTTTTCAATACGTAGCATTTTTAAAATCATACTGGAAATTAAAATTAGAAATATCTTTTTATAAATAAGTAAAAATCCAATTTGTCATACTTAATCAAAAAAAGAAAAAACTGGAAATTTTCTTCCACGAAAACTCGTATTTTAAAAAATTTTTTAAATACAAAAAACAAACTTCAATTCGACGACCTAATTCACATTTTTGACGTGATGCACTGCTTCGACCTCGCGCAATTTTCAGTAATAAAAATAAAAACATTCCAACCACTAATAAACAAACTAAAGCGAAAATCATATTCCGTAAATCCATTATGTATTCTGTCATCCGATGCATGTCATCAGCCACCTAAATTATTATTATTGTATTTTTTTAGCAAAACTAATTTTAGTATTAAGATATTATCATTATTATTGTTCATCATAGCCACAAGAAATTATTAAACACTCATTTTTTTATACATATTTTAGAACTAAAAATAATCATTTAAAGTGAAGAAAAAATTAAAATTATGTGCTCAAAATTGTGCATATTTTCGCCTTTAAATAAAATCAAAAATTACAAAAATGTAGCAAATAAAATAATAAATTTTACCTAATATTGCACTTTAAGTAAGCAATTTCCCTGTATTTTGTACAATATTACTAATTAATATACTAAATATTTAATAATAACTTTTATTAGTACCAATAAAACGATAATTACTGAATAATTTGTTCACTCAAAGATTTTTCATTGGTGTATTTGAATATTAATTCAAAAATTAAAATATTCCACGTGACGAGAAAAAATTTGAATAGAAACCTGTATCATTTTTGGAATGCCTTTGAATATTACATTCATATCTGGATAAGGTTGATGATCCATCATTAATTCTGATTTTGGTGTGCTGTTACTGCCTCCCATCACAAACTATTATAAATTTCCGAAAATCCTAAAGAATTCAAAAGTCACATTAATTGGTACACATTACAAAAGCTACCAAAAATTTAGTTGTTAATCAAAATCTAAAAAACTTATCATAACAGTACAAAACAAGTTTTAGAGATAAAAATGCCTAAATGTTTATTTATCTCAAAATGATTACTTTGACATTACGAAAAAATTTTCTGAAGTAAAGGTTATAGGTAAATGATAATAAAAATCTCTTACTTTCATAATAAAACTACTGATTATGCAAATATTTGACTTTTAATTAACTTTTATGTAGAAGTTTTTTAAAATAAAATATTGAATAAAAATAATAGTTCTATCATTTATCATTTTCTCCTGCCGTAGAGAACAATCTTAAGGCTTAGATATTATTGCTGCTATTACATATCTTAACAAAATAACGATTACACCCTATCAAATATCAAAGTTAGTCAGCAAAATAAGCATAATCACAATGTCAACAAAAGTTTTAAGCTACTTGGAATTAACAACAAATTAATCAACAATATCCTTCTCTTACATTTTCTCAAAATATCACGAGAATTGAGTAAATAACTTTAAATGAAAACTAATAATAAATGAAGATAAGTGAACACAAACCTTACATCTAGCTCTTCTATGATTGATAGAATTATTAAAGTTATTCATCAAAGACTCAACGAAGTTAATGATTATCTTCTCGATGTCTTATTAGTTTGTAAAATAATGATAATATAGTGATTTTGGACAAGTTTACTTGTAATATTTGTACAAATTCATTATTTTGTAGATGTGAGCAATTTAAAACATTTGAAAATTTACGCATTTGTAATGTATTATTTGTTAATACTTCAATTGATTCATCTCATATTTTTGAAATTATTAACAAATTTAAAATGCAAAATTTTATCAAAAATAAATGAAGCATTTAGAAAATGTCATATATGATGAAAGTTAAATCTAATCCGATATCAAATTATAAAGTAGAACAAAAGTGTAAATACGAAAAGTTGATGTGATGTTTGAAAAAACCGAATTTGTGTTATTTACAAGCATAATATTTTATCCTTAATTACTCATGTAGACTAGATTCGACTTTCATATATTTTTAAAATACAAATTTGAAAAGTCTTATTTTCAAATTTTTTATGATTTTTTAAATAGTTTAAAGTTGTTAAGTATCTACTGAACATGACAGTTTGCAAAAAAAAAAAAGAATGATCCAAGTTGCTAATAACAGTTTAAATATGCAACTCAAGCATTGGCTAACAAATTCAGTGTTAAAAGTTATTTCAATTGTTCTTGACAAAACTACAAGCTGTTCTATAAGTTTGAATTTATGCAAAAAAGATGGAGTCAGAAACACCTATTTGTACGGAAAAAAATAAAGGTTAAGCAGCCAACAAACACGTAAATACGTACGGGAACTATTTAACATCAGGTAAAATGCGTTAATAAAACTTATAATATATTTTCTTAGCACTGATAATTTAAAAGACATATCTCTGTTAATTTGCATTTTTGAATAATAACTAAAATTAAAAACTAATACTGAAAAACAAAGCTTAAAAAAATTGTAATCATTATAGCTTGTTCTTCATTATCCTCAATAACATAGCTTAAAAAAATTTTTTTTGGCACTGATTTTATGTTAAAGCCTGGAAAATATATCATTTAAACAACTACCACTTGTATTTTTTTCAAAACATTTTTTTGATATTTTTTTAAAAAAATAAACAAAATCAGAAAAATTGAAAACTTAATTTTTGAATTGAAAGAATTACAATAAAAATATAGAAGATACGAGATATTTATGCTAAAAAGTTTTTATATAATTATACATTTTTGTAATAAATATTATAAATTATTTTATGATCAGTGAACCAAAGGTATATCACTACTAAAAGTTTTGCAATTTACATAAATGTAAAAATCACTCATACACATAAATATTTTTCTGATAAAACTTATACTGTCATTTTTTTTTTAATTTTAACGATCAAAAATTAAATTTTTTATTCTGGAATTAATGTTTGTGAATGCTAATAATGCTAGCACTTAATACTTAATATACAACTTTTTCAGTGCCATTACGAAAAGAAAAACAAAAAGACCAGAATGTAAGTCTTTTCAACTAATCTATCCCATTTTATGCATGAATAATTTTGCATCATTTAATAATAACCAATTTGCATAATATATCTGGCATAAAATGTAAATTTTTAATCATTGAATGATTCAATTCACTTTAGGAAAATACATTTATTGTTTGCTTAAAATTTGTATATATATAGATAAATAAGTAATTAACAAATTTTAGAAATATTTAGTAATAATTTTCTAACTCAGTATGGAATTTGTTTTTTCAAGCAGTACAAATATGGCAGACACGTCTTAACTAATAAAGTAATAAGTGTTGAAAACGGGTAACGATGAAAGATATCAACAAGAAAAA